GACGATTTGCCGATAAGAGCCTTCCCTGCGGACCCAAAGACCGTCTTGCAGAAGGAGGTGACCCGTGTTATTAACGTCAGTAAAGCAAGGGTCCATAGCGGTAGCAGCCTTAATACGCACAGACAAATCGGAGTGTGAACCCGACCGCTCCAGAGATGCGGTGCGACGTGTCATGACAGACAGGATGGCTGAATGCAGTGAAGGATAGCGTCAGCCACATTCAAAGAGCCAGACAGATACTCCCAATCGAAGTTAGACCGCGCGAAATATTCCATCCGCCTAGCCTGCCGACGGTTTAACGAAGGCACACCTTGGAGAAACGTAAGGGGCTTATGGTCAGTGTTCAGCGTAAAGGGCCTGCCTTCCAGATAGCAGCGCCATTCTTTTGAAGCTTGTAAAACAGCAAGTAATTCCTGTTCCCCGGTGGTGTAACGGGTTTCAGCACCCGAAAACTCCCTACTCGTAAAAGCCACAGGACGGCAACAGAACAGCACCGGATCCGTAAAGAGAAGCGTCAGTCACTACCTCAACACGGAATGGCAACGAGTATTCGGGAAAATGCAGGATAAGGTCGTCAGCGACTGAGGAGGGTAGGATCCGGGCTGGAATTAGGGAAGAGCTCTGTCGCAGAATTAGCCTGGATTTTATTCCTGACAAAAGAATTGTTCTGGCGGGCTCGCCGGAGGTATTCGAATTGCGCTGTGGAGCCTCGGAATTGGGCTGTGCTAGGCCTTAATTGTCCGGGTGTCGAATTAGGCTGGCAGGGTATCGAATTAGCCTTACAGGGTATCGAATTGACCTGTTCAGGGTGTCGAATTGGCAGTCGAGTTGGCAGGATTGGCTCAGGCTGGCATCCAAAAGCACATGACTTTTAAGGAATTTACAGAAAACTTTGCAAGGGGACCGCTTACAAGTGCCTCATGTGCGTATTGGTTTCGATCCCAGGACATGGAGCAGGAAAACTTGCAGACCTGGTTACCGTACTCTGGCACTACTACTACCACTACCGGAGGCAAGCACTCAGGGCCATTGCTTCAGGGTTAGACAGGACCTTCCTAAAATGGTCGGGTTGCCGGTTTTCCCCTTCCCATGCCCGTCGGCCCCGCCCGATAGCGTTTTTGCATATCTTTCAATTTCTGTCGGGTGCCCCGATAGCCCATCCCAAAACCTGTCGGGTGACGCAAGAACGAAATTTCGCTGTGTGCCGCTTGAAATTACATTTATTCGTATTTTATATGCGCAGTTTCCAGTTCTCAGTTTGCAGTTCACAGTTCTGATATGCACGAACAAACACACACACAGCAACACATGCACGCCTGCACGTCTGCCTGTGAGCATCACAACCCGAGCTCTTCAAGGAGACCCTTAGACACCGTAGGACTGGAGAGGAACATCTCCCCCTCATCGGCAACCTCACTGCCAGACCCACTGGACAGTTCTGGATCCCCATCACTCATAAATGCCTCGCTGGCCTCCTCTTCGTCATCTTCCCCCTCATCAGCCGGCTCCTCATCGCTCTCAACATCACTATCCAAGCATGGCACTGTAGTGCGTGAAACCCCCATAAGGGTTTTTAGGGTGGGGGCCGCAGTGCCAGATGCGTAAACATCAGATGCATCGCTGAAATCCATGACCTCAAAAGGCTGAGCAAGTAGCCGCACTCGCATCAAGGAGTCAATGGTAACCACACGCAAGCGGTTCCGGAGACGATCCTTGATGATGCGGTGCAAGGAAAAGCCGCGCTCCACACAGGCCGTTTGCAGCGGCACAACCATAGCGACGAAGATAAACTGCACGACGTTGGGCATGGACGACAGGTGCTCCTTAACAATGTGGCACCACAAATGGCTGCACTCCGCCCATTCATTCTGGTTGCTATACTCGTACATAACGGCCTTAGCAACCTCCCACTCCTCAAGGACCCGAGGGAGATTCTTATCAGTGAGCTCAAACAACTGATTTGCCTGCGACTTGCTACAGAAATTCTTAAGCAGCACCCTGAACTCTTCTTTGCCAAAGGACTTTACTTTGTCCTTCGGCATCCCCTGATATGATTTGGGATCGAAGATTTTGAAAGCATCTAACACTTCTGACTCCACAAACCGCTCATCAAGATGCGAACAGACCTCAGCAACAAACTCAATCGCAAAGTCCTCCAACTCGTCGAGATCTATTTCGCCCTCTAACGGAATCTTCTTGCCCTTCTTCGCATGCCAATTGCCTCGGGTACTGAAGGCGCGCAGAAACCCACAAAGGGCCTCGGCATTGCGTAGCTGGCCCTCAGCCTCGCTCTCGGTTACTCGTGATAACTTGCTTCGCGCGGTATTTACTAGAATGGAAACCTTGTGCGGCACCAACTTCGAATCAGACTGAAACTGCTGGCTCAAAACACTCATGGGCTTCAGCAGATCGCACATGAGGAAGAGCATTGCCACAGTCTGGGCACACGATAGGGCCTTAAGCAAGGCAGGCACGTTATCCCACTGGGCGCCTTGGCTGCGGATAAACAGGAGCAGCACATCCAGATTGAGCACCAGCACCAGCACCGACGACCCACGGCACCCGATCGGGTGGTCCTAGCGCCCCTAACCATGTCGGGTCCCCCGACGGGGGCCCTCCGGGCCCCGACGGGGGCTCCCGATGGCCGTTTGGCATTTTCCCCCTTTTTCGTCGGGTCCGCCCGAAAGCATTTTCAAAGCCTGTCGGGATTTTCAGGACAAGTGCCATTCCTGTCGGGACCCGATCGGGCTGTCTCACCCTGCATTGCTTAAACGTCATCGCGTGATCCGTACTCACTACTAACTTATTGTGGGGAAGGCCATTGCCACACTCCCGCGGTACCCAAACCCTTCAAAGATAACTCCGACCAGCCATTGGCT